ACACCAGCTCCCCGAAGACTAGAGTCTCCAGCAGTCACGTGCTCAGCTCCAACTCCAGCACCCCCAGAACCAGGACCTCGCACAGGTACGCTCTCTGCTTCAACTCCAACACCTCTAGAGCTAGCACCTCCAGGGTCCTCGCCACAAAAACCGGCTCCTGCAGGGTCTGCCGTAGGCTGGGAGGAGGACTGCGGGGAAGGAGGCTACACCTGAGGGGCTACCGAGGGGGGAGGGGTAGCGGGGGACACACCTGACGGGGCGGGACCAGGGGGGGGAGGCTGTACTAGGGGAGCAGGAGGGGGAGCTGAAGTCAGGAAGAGAGGGGGAGGAGGAACCGGGAGACCTCGACAGGGGAACCTGATGTAGTAGGGGACCTCCCCTTCACCGGTTTTTTTACTCTCGAAACGGACGTCACGAGAGTAAAAAAACCGGTGAAGGGGAGGGTGGTAGAAGGTGTAGTCAGAGGAGTCCTCAGGGAAACCAAGGAACACGCAGGGAACAGTGCGAGGCGAGATCTTGTCCGTGGAGGTGTCGCGAACAAGTGCCAAGCAACCCCAGACACGAAAATGCGACGCAGCAACAGGGGACCCGGTCCAAAGACTGGTCGGTGAAACCTCTGGCCGAGAGACACGTGGCCAGAGGTTCAGCTGGTGAGCGGCGTACCGAACCGTGTAGGGCCACGGAACATGGGGGGCACGGACGTGAGTAATGGAGGTGCGGGCGATCTCCATGACCAAGCCTATGCGGCGCTCAGCAACCCCATTCTGCTGTGGGGACTCTGGAAGCGTCCAGGACTGACAGATGCCCTGCTCGCGACAGAATCCAGCGAGAACGCCAGAGCGAAACTCACCCCCGCGGTCGGAGTGAAGACAGCTGACACGACGAACACGACTGTCCGCATTGGTAAGCAACCACCGGATCAGCGTAGAAGTCATGTCGGACTTCTTCGCCAGGGGGAACAGTGTGGTGTAGCGGGAGTAGTTGTCAACGACCACGAGAAAGAAACTCTCTCGCTCAGGGCCCGGGCACGAGGCGGGGCCCCAGACGTCCAAGTGGAGAGTCTCGAAGGGCTCGGTGGCCGGACGAAGGGAGGAGGAGTGAGGGGTGGCGCGCAGCCGACCCTCGACGCAGGGACCGCAGGGTGGCGCAAGCGAAGGCGGCAACGACGGCAAGACACGCGGGAGGCCTAAGACAAGATGCTGACTAGACATAGCGCGCAGGCGAGAAATGGACGGGTGCCCCATCCGGTGGTGCCACAAGACAGTGGGGTGGGCAAGCGACCGACAGGAGCACGACGTAGCAATTGGACCAGACACAGCTACCTGGGGAGACGCAGCAACCTAGTGAGACGCGGGAACCTGACGAGGGACAATGACAGGAGTCGGGGGCAGTGGCTGCTGCTGCTGCTGCCGCTGCTACTGCTGCTGCTGCTGCTGCTGCTGCTGCTGCTGCTGCTGCCCTCGGGGGCCAGTGTGAAGTGTGTAGAGACCAGAGCCCGGCTCAGCAGTAAAGGTGGCGAGAGGTGCGTACGTGTCCCCGTCGACACAAACCGCAGTCTCGCCAGAAGGCTCAATCCACACACCCACGTGCTGACTCACGAGCGGCCTCACGCCCACCAAGTTCCTTGAGAACGAGGGGACGTGGAAGCCGGTCAGAGAACCGGAGGGAACAGCCGGGCACGGCAGCGTAGTAGTGTAGCGAGCAGTGACTGGTCCCGAAGTGGGATCGGCCAATGCTACAGAGACCGGCGTAGGAAGCGGGGTAAGTGTCGTGCGGTCGCGGAAGAAACAATGGGAAGCTCCGGAGTCCAGAGTGAAAGACAGCGAAGCGTCCTCTGGAGCAGCTCCTGGACTAGTGTCTACACAAGTACCTACACTAGCAACAGGCACCTCAGCAAGACTAGCACCTAAGCTAACAACACTCGAGTAAACAGAGTCAGAAGCACTAGAGTCAACAATAGCATACATAGCATGAGGAGTTCCTAAGAGATCAAACAACTGAGAAGCCGACATGCCTCACAGAGCGGGGCCGCACGTGAACAAGGGGGAGCCAGTCAGGGCAGGGCCGTCAACGCCGTAGGCCAAGCGAACCGTGTCAGTAAGCTGAGCAAAGCACTAACCCGGTGGGTGGCTGCGGCCACAAGGCTGGCCGCGGCGGGCACTTGTCAGAACGTGATAGGTGCAGGGAAGGTGGACGACACCGCGCTGCAGCTGACGCTGTCCTGACCCCTGCCCCGAAACCTGTTGCTGCCACTGCTGCTGCTTTGGCTGCTACGAGGGGAGGGGCTGCTGCTGTTGCTGCTGCTGTTGCTGCTGCTGCTGTCGGTGAGTTAGGTACCACGCCGTTGCTCCACCCCCTGCGGCTGGCAGACCAGTAGGTGGCTGACAAACCCGGGCGTCACCTCCACCAGTTGCAGCAGGGGAGTCACCAGCCGCTGCACGAGGCACTTCTCCAGCCCCTGCACTCCCGCCGCCACCGCTCGCCACATCACCCCCACCGCCTCCGCCCACACCCTGACCGCCCCTCCTGCCACTCCTACCCCGAGACCCGAAGAAGTCGTAACAGTAGCTGCGGTCACGTCAGTAGCGGCAATGGCGAGGGAGGCAGTAAAGGTGGGCACCCGAGGGACAGTGCACCCGTGGAATAGTGGAGGGGGCACAGCACCAGAGGTGGGGGCTACCGAGCGGAGGTTGCTCTCGACGTCCTTGAGGGCTGACTCAAGGACCTCGATAGTGAGCTCGCTAGGGTGCTTCGGAAGAAGCGCGTCACGAACCGAGGCAAGGCGGTCAGGGAGGCTAGTGGCGATGAAATAGATAGTAATTGCCATGGGGGGAGGGAGCAGTGCAAGCTGTGCGTCAGTGCAAGCAGCGCGGTAGCTAGAATCGAGCGAGCGCAGATGAGTGATCAAGTCAGCAGTGCGCTCAAACGAGGCGAGGTAAGGAAACAGGAACGGAAGGAACAGGCGACCAAGAGAGACAGTGGTGGAAGTAGCGTAGCGGGCCTTGATCGCAGTCAGAAACTCACTAGCTGTGCGAACCTGAGTGAAGTGGGTCTCCTCAGACTCAGGGAGGAGGCTTCTAAGGGCAATGCAGGCCGCAGTGTCACGCGACTTCCACGCTGTCACGTCAGCATGCTCGCATGCATAACGGTCACTGTCTGCAGGTGTGGGATCAACTGCTAAGGGTGCAGGGCCTGCGGGCTCAGGTACGTCACCGGAAGCGTGCGCCCACAGAGTCTTGTGTGCCTGAACCTGGCTCTCTAGGAGGCGGCGCGCACGCAGGAGCCAGACCGAGAACTCGAGCGGCCTACCCTCAGCGTCAAAGCGTAGGACCCTAGGGGTCGCCATAGCGGAAGCGTAGAGGTGGATACTACTGCTGCCGAAACCCTAAACGCCTAAAGGGCCTGCGTAGGGCGTGACAGACAGTGCGACGCGACTGGACAGGACACGACTGGCAGGGACGGGCACGACAGGCACGGACGGGCAGGGCGCACGGGGCGCGACGGACGGGCAGGGCGCAGCGGGGGCGTGACGGACGGGCAGGGCGCACGGGGCGCAACGGACGGGCAGGGCGCACAGGGCGCGACGGACGGGCAGGGTGCACGGGGCGCGACGGACGGGCAGGGCGCAGCGGGGGCGCGACGGACGGGCAGGGCGCACGGGGCGCGTGCGACGGGACGGGACGGGAAGCGCGACGCGGACGGGACGGGACGGGACGTACTGCGTGACGCGGCGGGACAAAAGGGACAGCAGGGGGCGACGTGACGGGACAGCAGGGGCGACGGGACGGGACGGGACAGCAGGGGCGACGCGACGGCAGGGGCGACGGGACGGGACAGCAGGGGCGACGCGACGGCAGGGGCGACGGGACGGGACAGCAGGGGCGACGGGATAGCAGGGGCGACGGGACAGTAGGGGCGACGGGACGGGACGAGACAGCAGGGGCGACGCGACGGCAGGCGCAGCGGGCGCTAGGGCACGAGAGAGACGAACGCGATAGGCGCTAAGGGACAGTACGGGCGTAACGGGCACTAGGGTACGGGACAGGCTCGGGCGCTACGGACGTGAACGAGAGGAACGAGATCCCACAGGATCCTAATCTAGGTGATACCATGTCAAGAATGAAAGTGTTGGTTTGACTAAGGTTGGTTGGGGTACATAAACCTAACCCTAACAGTTGTACCCCCTATAATACACATCACTAAGACTACAACATTTTACAGCGGATAATGCTTTTCAGGGTTTGGTTGAACTGTACTGAGAGGGAGGGAGGAGTAAATAGTGCTTTTGACATGAGGTGCTTGTGATGCACTAAGGGCATCCACTGTATCAATGTTGTATGGTACATTGGTGGCCCAAAAGAGAGATTCACAATGTCACATTCTCACAATGTTTTTTTTTTGAGTTTTTTGAAGCCATTTCTTAAATTACCGGTACTAAAACTTGAAGTGCAGTGCCCTTAAGAATCCGCTGGCTGCTTGATAACCAGTGGGTTTACTTCAAACCTAGCTGCACCAGCAGCAGTCAAACAGTCTACTTGAAATAGCGATTACATCTCTCCAAACAAATCTCAACATTCAAATGTTTCTAACAGCTTTCAGAAGTGCGCGCCGAAGGCATTGTACAGAGACACAGCAGTAACCAACAAACCAATCCACATCGAGCTCCTCAGCCGACCCGGCTCTGTTTCAAAGCGCTTCAGAAGCTAGACTCTCCATTCTAGAGAATTCTCAGCTTGTTCATTGAGAATTCTCAGACACCAACTACCAGCCCCAGAAGCTACACTCCCCAACGCTTGCTGTGGCCATCTTGAGCAAGTGCCCCAGCGGCAAGTACTGAAAGAAGCCCATGGGTGTAGAAGCTGCACAGCAGTTAACCCCGACAGTTGACCTGGAACAGTAGGCACCCCGGCAGTTGACACTTGGTGACAACAGTTGGCATTCTCCTTTCCCCAGAACATGCCCTCACAAGTGCAGGCATCCAGGCAAGTTTTTCCAGGCCCTCACACCTTCTTCACAATCTGCACAACATCTTCATCCTCCAATTCGTGCTCCTGTTGTATATGGGGTGAGAGGGGTATGGGGAAAGAGAGATCGGGGGTGGGTGGGGGGGTTGAGTGTTTTTCAGGCCACCTTGCACACTTTCGTCACGGCCTTCAGGCTTCAGCCCAGCCAGCCTGCCACATCCTCCGGATGTATGGGGGCTGGGAGGCGAGCAGTGAAGGGGTATGATGGGCCAAGAATTTTGGAGCTCCAATAATCTCCCAACCCAACCTTGAAGACCAAATGAGCAGGCCAAGGTTGAATTTTCAATTTCAAGTAGGGTGACGTTGTACACCCAACAGAAGTTGGGTACCCATCTCTAGAGACTAGCATACATGCAGGATGCAGGAGGAAGAGAAATCTAAAATCTGACAGTGAGCACTCACCTTGCCTACTCGTTGCGGTTTGTGCTTGGCACTGGATCCCCACACGAGAGCACTGGTGGGTAGGCAGGGACACATACGAGAGGGAGGAGGAAAGGAGGAGGAAGGAGCAAGAGGGGGTTTAACAATAGCTTGGCAGCGCACCCCCACACCAGAGCATTTTTTAATAATATCTATGCGGATGCAACTCACTATCTCAACTGCCCGACTCACTATTTGCACTGCCCAACTCACTATCTGGACTGCTCGACTCACAGATTGAACTGCCCAGCTCAATATTTGAGCTGCCCAACTCACGATTTCAGACTGCCGAGCTCACTATTTGAACTGTTCTCACTATCTGAACTGCCCGGCCCACTATTTAAACTGGCCGACTCATATTTTAACTGGCCGACTCACTATTTAAACTGCCCGACTCACTATTTGAACTGCTTGGACATGTCCTTATGAATACGGTTGCAGAAGTCATCCACCGACACGGACTTGCCCGACAGGATCACCGGATCCTCGTAGTCCGGATTCATTCTTCCCCCACCTACCCCCCTTCCCCTCCCCTCCCCACCATCCCGTTAGAAGCCACTGTTTCGACCTGCCCAACTCCCTGTTTCACGCTGCCCGACTGGCAAGTCCACCCTGCCCGAACCAGCGTTTCAGGCTGCCCGACTCAATATTTCAGGCTGCCCGTCCCACTATTTGAACTGCCCGACTCACTATTTGAGCTGCCCGACTCAAACTCACTATTTGAACTGCCCGACTCACTATTTGAACTGCTTGGACATGTCCTTATGAATACGGTTGCAGAAGTCATCCACCGACACGGACTTGCCCGACAGGATCACCGGATCCTCGTAGTCCGGATTCGCCCCCCTTGGCTTGGTGTACACTCGCACGAGGTCAAGGTACTCCCACACCTTCTCGAGCAATCCGTCCAGATTCCACTCCAAGTGAGCACTGCGTGCAAGCAGGGAAGGGAAGAAACGTGCATGCACACGTGTAGATCATGTGAGCATGTCTGGTCGTCCGGATTCGCCCCCCTTGGCTTGGTGTACACTCGCACGAGGTGTCAAGGTATTCCCACACCTTCTCGAGCAGCCCGTCCAGATTCCACTCCAGATGAGCGCTGCGAAAGCACACAGGAAAGAGAAGGCACAGGAGCATGTTTTGATTGCTCTGAGTTCGCTTCCCCTTGGCTTGGTGTACACTCGCATGAGATCAAAATATTCCCACACCTTCACGAGCGATTAAGGCTTGAGCCTTGAGGTGCTGGATAAGCCGCTGCACTACTGCAAGCCGTTAATCGCTCGCCGTAGTGCAGCAGCTCCTCCATCCTGCTGTGCTCGATCTTAAACCCTCTATAAGCTGCTCCCTCAAGAGTATTAGTACCTGACAGGGAAGTAGTGCGCCAGCTTATCCAGCACCTCCAGCTCCTCCAATGTAATTTGGTCGACCTTATTCACGGCGTACACACACGGGATGTACACGCGGCTGTCCCTTATACCCTCTATAAGCTGCTCCCTTAATTTAACAGTAGTATTACCTGACAGGGCAGTAATGGGGCAGCTTGTCTAACACTTCCAGCTCCTCCAGCGTGATTTGGTCGACCTTATTGACAGCGTACACACACGGGATGTACACGCGGCTGCCCTCAATCACGTCGATCAGGTCGTCCACCGTCGCATCGTATCGCAGATGCACGTCCGCGTTGTGGATGCGGTACTCGGAGCACACGGCCTTCACCGTGTCCAGGTCCAGGTTGGTGACGCTGCACGCTGCTGTGATGCTGATGCCGCCCTTGTCCTTTCTCCTGAAGGTGAGGTTCGGAGGCTCCTTGTTCAGCCTGGGAGGAAGAAGAGGAGGGAGTGAGGGAGGGAGAGAGAGGGGGACGAAGGGGACGAAGAAGGGGAGGGAGGAGGGGAGGGAGAGGAGGGAGGGAAAGGAAGGAGGTTGAGTGAGGGAGGCGTGAATGAGGTACTCGGAGCACACAGCCTTGACGGTGTCCAGGTCTAGATTGGTGACGCTGCACGCTGCTGTGATGCTGATGCCGCCCTTGTCCTTCCGCCTGAAGGTGAGATTTGGAGGTTCCTTGTTCAGCCTGCCAGGGGGGGAAACGGCACCCCCCGTCGAGAAACGGGAGGGAGAAGGGGAGGGAGACGGGGAGGGAGGAGCGGAGTGAGAGGGGGCGGGAGGGAGGGGGTGAGGGAGGGGTGGATGCGGTCCAGGTCTAGGTGACCAAAAACGCTTTTGCCTTTAAGCGTATAGCGTTTATCCGCTTGCGTATACACGCAAAACGCTATACGCTAACGAATACGCAATACGCTCGGGGGTTTTTTTTTGGGCTGCCCAAAATCGAAAATTTTCGAGTATATCTAGAAAGTTCCGTCTTTTCACGGCGAAGAAGATGCCGTGCTCGAAATGGACGTCCGAGGTCTACCCTGGCCTGGACGTGCCTTCAATGTGTGGAGGTGGGTTTGTTTCCGTGCTTTCAATTTGCGGCGCCGGGATTGTGAGTTGGGTTACGTGGCACCAGTCTTTGGAGTCGCGATGTCCTTGACATTTCACATTGGGGTTCCACCCATTTCAACCGCTCTCGATCTACAACCTCCCTCCAAACCAACTTTGTTCCCACCAACAAATCCCACGCTACTTAACAAGCAGGTATAATTCTCTCTCGTCAATTCATCCTCCCGTCATTGTTCAGAGCTCCTTAGAATGGCTTCTGCAGTTGTTAACCCGACCCAGCCCACTCCCCCTCCTGATACCGGCACGGCCAGTCCTGATCGTGCGACGCGAGTTTACCTTCCAGATGTCGACCACGAGGTGTTCAAGCATTTCCGCCGCATAAAGGTGGACGAGGGGAAATCGCAGCAGTACGAGTGCAGGTACTGCTGCAATGTTTTTTCTGGTGCCGCCATCCGCTGCGCGCAGCACTTGGCGAGTTGGCGGAAGATGAAGCGCCGCGAAGTGGCGCTATGCAAGGAAGCCCCCCCTGAAGCGCGGGCGGCCATGCGGAAGAAATACGAGGCTAAGGCTGCAGCGGCGGCTTTGCGCCGCGAGGCGACATCGGATGCCATTGCCTCGGTTACCAGCAGCGGCAAAAGGAGCCGCATTACTGACTACTTGGAGACGGATGCGGCAGCTGGGAAGCGCGAAGCACATGAGGCGTTGGCGCTCATGTTCGCGGGGTGTCGCATCCCTGAGCGCGTCGCGGATCACCCGCTCTTCATCAACGCCGTTTGTGCCATTCGGGACGCCGGCACAGGATACGTCCCACCAAAGAAGGGGTTCATCGGCGGGGCGGGCTTGCGACTGTGCTGCGACAGCATCGACAGGGGGCTTTCTGGAGTGAAGGCGAGCTGGAAGCGGACCGGCGTGACAATTTCTTCTGACATGATGACCGATAAGAACGGTCGCCCCCAGGCGAACGTGTTTCTCGTCAACGAGAGTGGCGCGGTGTTCAAGGACTGCGTGGACTGCCGCATGGAGAGTAAGACCGGCGGTTATGTCGCCAGCATCCTCAGGCCCGTGGTGGAGGAGGTCGGACCGGAGAACGTGGTGGCGTTCTGCACGGACGGGGGGTCCAACTACGCAGTGGCGTGCAACCAACTGATCGCGGAATGGCCGCACATTCAACACGTGCCTTGCGGCACCCACGTGTTGGACCTCTTCATGGAGGACGTCGGCAAGATGCCGTGGGCCAAGAATGTGGTGGACCCTGCGGGCGATATCAGCTCCTTCGTCCGCAACCACCACTGGACGAGGGGATACTTGCGGAACCCGCAAATGGTGGGTGCAAGGATGCTGCAGGCGCTGAAACCGGCGGGAACCAGATTCGGGACACAATACATTGTTGTGTCCCGTCTCTGTCAGCTGCGGCAGTCGCTTGCACAGATGGTGGTGTCTGATGTGTGGAAGGGCTGGGCAGTTGGGGACAGGAAGAAGCCTGCGGAGAAATTTGCAGCGCAAATTCTTGATGACGCGTGGTGGAAGACGGCGGAGTTTTTCTGCAAGTTGATGAAGCTCCCGTTCTTCGCAATGCGGAAGACCGATGCGGATGCCAAGGGGATCATGGGCCGTATGTATGACATTATGTTGCAGTTGACCGAGGATGTGGGGACAGTGGTGGAGGAGGATGAGGAGCAGCTCTCCCACTCCGACAAGGTGCAGATCCGCCGCCTGCTGAGGGACAGGTGGGACGGCAGCCTCGCCTGCCCCATGCACGTTGCGGGGCGGATTCTCAACCCGGCGAACCAGGATGAGGACATCTTCGGCTCAGACGCGGAGTGCACAAAGGTATTCAAAGCCTTCATCACTCAGCACGCCGAGCACCTTTGCAATCACGGGAAGGAGGGGGAAGATGGGGATGACATTGGGGAGGTTTTGATGGAACTGCAGGACGGGGTGAGGGCATTTCTGGATATGAAGGGAAGTTTCGGGATGGGGGATGCAATTGCTCAGAGGAACTTGGTCAAGGAGGGCAAGTATGACATGGTAAAGTGGTGGCAGTGGCACGGCACTGACGCACCAAAGCTGGCGGCCCTCGCCATCAGGACTCTCTCTCAGCCCGTGTCAGCTTCACCATGTGAGAGGGGATGGTCAACGTGGGAGGGGGTGCACACGGCCCGCCGGAACCGGCTTGGCTCTGCCAAGTGCCGGGATTTGGTTTTTGTTGCGCACAACTGGAACGTTGTGCGCAAGTGGCATTCCCGTGCAGATGTCATGCCGGGTGTGGTGCTCGGAAACATGCCGGAGCCTCCCGTGCCCGAGGGCTACAATGTGGTGGAGGGGGACGAGGAGAAGGAGGAGGAGGGGGAAGACGACATTCTGGAGGATGAGTATGAGTAGGTGGCGTTATTGATGGAGTAGCGTGAGTAGTAGTATGTGTGGTAGTAGTATGAGATGAGTATGTGTCATTGTAATGTTGGTGGTGAATAAGTTTGAGTCGGGAAAAAAATCTGGGAAATCCAACCCCTGTGGAAACTGACCCCAGAAGTATATCAGGGGGGTCAAAATTTAGCTGCCCGAACTTTTTTAAAACCTGCCCGAAATAGCGTATCGAGGGTCTCGGGACCTCTGCGTATAGCGTATAAACGCGAGCGTATATACGACACGCGTATATACGCTAAACGCGTATATGGTCACTTAGGTCCAGGTCCAGGTTGGTGACGCTGCTGTGATGCTGATGCCGCCCTTGTCCTTTCTTCGGAAGGTCAGGTTCGGAGGTTCCTTGTTCAGCCTGGGAGAGAGGGAGGGGGCCGGGCAGGGGGAGAGCGAGGTGAGAAAGGGAGGAGAAGGGGAGGGAGAGAGGGAGGGAAAGGGGAGCTTGACGGTGCCACTGAACACACCTGACACCCGCTTGATGGTGCCACCACAACACACCTGACACCCGCTTGATGGTGCCATCACAACACACCTGACACCCGCTTGATGGTGCCACCACAACACACCTGACACCCGCTTGATGGTGCCACCACAACACACCTGACACCCGCTTGATGGTGCCACCACAACACACCTGACACCCGCTTGATGGTGCCACCACAACACACCTGACACCCGCTTGATGGTGCCATCACAACACACCTGACACCCGCTTGATGGTGCCACCACAACACACCTGACACCCGCTTGATGGTGCCACCACAACACACCTGACACCCGCTTGATGGTGCCACCACAACACACCTGACACCCGCTTGATGGTGCCATCACAACACACCTGACACCCGCTTGATGGTGCCACCACAACACACCTGACACCCGCTTGATGGTGCCACCACAACACACCTGACACCCGCTTGATGGTGCCACCACAACACACCTGACACCCGCTTGATGGTGCCACTGAACACACCTGACACCCGCTTGATGGTGCCACCACAACACACCTGACACCCGCTTGATGGTGCCACCACAACACACCTGACACCCGCTTGATGGTGCCATCACAACACACCTGACACCCGCTTGATGGTGCCACCACAACACACCTGACACCCGCTTGATGGTGCCACCACAACACACCTGACACCCGCTTGATGGTGCCACCACAACACACCTGACACCCGCTTGATGGTGCCATCACAACACACCTGACACCCGCTTGATGGTGCCACCACAACACACCTGACACCCGCTTGATGGTGCCACCACAACACACCTGACACCCGCTTGATGGTGCCACCACAACACACCTGACACCCGCTTGATGGTGCCACCACAACACACCTGACACCCGCTTGATGGTGCCACCACAACACACCTGACACCCGCTTGATGGCGTCAACACAACACACCTGACACCCGCTTGATGGTGCCACCACAACACACCTGACACCCGCTTGATGGCGTCAACACAACACACACATGAGAATGCACGACAACACACCTTGCGAAACTGGCAACAAGCCAACCCAGCCCAACCCAACCCAACCCAACCCAACCCAACACAACACAACACAATGCAAACTCGACTGAACCTGCCGGCACTCATGCTGTTGTCTCTTGCACAACACAACTCAACCCACCTGATACCAAACCCTTCAAGCTCCTTCTCAATCAGTCGCTTGTGTGTGATGGGCTTGATGGCATCCAACACGATCACAATGCAGTTGCACGTGCGGGCGGTGGAGATGACCTGAAGGAGTGGCATCAGCGAGGAAAGGGGATGTACGGAGTGAGTAATGTGAGAGATCTCAAGCTCTTTCTCAAGAAGTCTCTTGTGGGAGATGGGCTTGATTGCTTAGCATCCAACATGATCACAATGCAGTTGCACGTGCGGGCCGTGGAGATGACCTGACGGAGCGGAGGAACCAGAGGGGAGCGAGGGGAGGCGAGGCAAGGGAGGGAAGAGACTGTTGAAGTGATCTCAGAGAGGGTGATGGGCTTGATGGCGTCCAACACGATCTCGATGCAGCTGCACGTGCAAGCGGACGAAATGACCTGATGGAATGATGTCCACGCACGGCAATGGAATGGGAGGGAAGTTCGGAATCGGAGAAGCGAGGTTCGTGGGAAGAAAATCAACTAAGGGCTTGAATCTAACTGCTTGGCTCGTGGGCTCCGGTTGATAAAGCCAAGTTGCTTCGGCTCGATGGCAATTAGTCAACTAGTCAACTAGATTCGAGTTATTAAAGCGCTCTGTCTGACCAAGCGGCTTGGCCGTTTTGGTGTCAAATTCCATCACCTGCCTGCCTCGGCCCTTGATGACCCCGGGTAACTCCCAACAGATCTAGATGTTCAATGATTAGATGTAATTCAGCCAGCCAGCCATGCCACATGCCACAAGGACATTGAACATCTAAACAGATTCTAGCACATCCCTCCCTTCCTAACTCCCTCCTTCACTCCCTTATCTGCCTGCCTCGCCGCTCGTCCTTGGCTTCCTCAGTGATTCCAGCATTTGTCATTCAGCCAGCCATGCCACATGGCACAAGGACATTGAACATCTAGATGAATACTAACGCCTCCCTCCCTCCCTCACTCCCCCTCTCACCTGCCTGCCTCGCCCCTTGCCATCCTTGGCCCCCTCAATAATCCCGGGTAAGTCCAGCAGCTGCCATCCAATAGTGACACATGTGGCATGCCACACACACAGACAGACAGGCATGACAAAAAAGGGTGGAAGGAAGCAGCATGATGAAGACAGAGGAGGAAATGTAAGGGGGCTGAAAATCAATAGTGCGGGAGCAGCTAGTTCCAATCCAACAGCGCATGGCTATTGTGAGATTGAATAGCACTTTGAGTAGCCCACGCACCTGGATCTTGGCTCCTCGGTACCGAATGACACCCGGGATGCACGTGAGCGTTGTGAACTCGTACGATGCCACCTGCATGCAGGCGGGAGGTATGACAAGGAGGATAGGGGAGGGGGAGGACAGCGGGGGTGGGTGACGCGTTACAAGGTGCTGGAATAGCCACAGAAAGGGATGCACGTGAGCGTTGTGAACTTGCACGACATGTTACCTGCATGCAGGCGGGAGGTATGACAAGGAGGATAGGGGAGGGGGAGGACCCGGGGGGTGAAGAGTTACAAGGTGCTGGAATAGCCACAGACAGGGATGCACGTGAGCGTTGTGAACTTGCACGACATGCCACCTGCATGCAGGTGGGAGGTGAGACGGCAGGCATTGAAATGCAATCAGGAAGCAGGAATTCTGCAGCTGCAGCAGCAGCAGCAGCAGCACCAGCTGATGTGCCTGTGAGTTTTCTCAAAAGCGACGACTTCCCCGCAAAGGGAAAGCCCGTAAGCCCCACTCGCAAATTGCCGCACTTCGTCACGTCAAATCCCTGCCCCCTGCGTGTGATGAGGCGATTTTTGAGTCGACTCGCGTGTGATGAGGCGATTTTTTAGTCGACTCAAAAATCGCCTCATCACACGTCAAATCCCTGCCCCCTGCTCCTACTCGGTTCACCAGCCTACCGCAGAGAATGTGCTTGGAAGCTCGTTTAAACGTGTCAACTTCCCCACCGAGGGGAAACTTAAAAGTTCCACTCGCGAGTCACCGCTCTTAGTCACGTCAAATACCTATTCCGCTGCTATTGTTCCGCTGCTATTGTTCCCTGCTCCTACTCCGTTCACGAGCCTACCTCCGAGAATGTGCCTGTCAGCTTGTTTGAAAGTGTCAACCAACTTCCCCACGGACGGGAAACCCACGAGCCCCACTCGTGAGTCGCCACCATTCTTCGTCACGTAACAGGTCGAACCCTTCCCTGCTCCTACTCCGTTCACTAGCCTACCTCCGAGAATGTGCCCGTTAGTTTGTTCAAGAACGTCGATTTCCCCACGGACGGGAATCCCACGAGCCCCACTCGTGAGTCACCACTCTTTGTCATGTCAAAGCCCTCCCCTGCCCCTGCTCGGTTCAGCAACAGCAGCAGCAGCAGCAGCCTACCTCAGAGAATGTGCCTGTCAGCTTGTTTAGAAGCGTCGATTTTCCCACGGACGGGAAACCCACAAGCCCCACTCGCGAGTCCCCACTCTTCGTCACGTCGAACCCTTCCCCAGCTCCGCCTCCCTTGCCGCCCGAGGGCGTGAGGATCTCTCGCCGAAGCTTCGCCAGCTTGGCCTGCATTGGTGAGGGGAGAGGGAGAAGAGGGAGAAGATAGAAGAGGGTTCAAAGAACGAATCTTTGATATACGCTGAAGGATTGGAAAAAGAGTGTGAAAAAGGGCAAAACGGGGATTGTTTCGAAACACGGGGAGCAGCGCCGTAAAGTGACGTTGTCTTAAGATTCTGCGTGCAAACGGGTGAACCAGAACTATACTCGTATGCAGCCCCGCAATCGGTATCAGCTCACCTTTAGCAGGCCCAAGTGGTGCGCTGTTGCCTTGTTCTTCTGCGTGCGAGCCATCTGCAAGCATGAGAGTACAGGAGCGTAAGAGCACACCAGCACACGGAAAAAGATAGTTGGTACCTCATAATATACCATGCATGTACTTATCAACGTACTCGTAAACTCTCTCCTCTCTCACAGTAAGATTCTTTATTCACCCGCTCCGATGCTTCATTCACCTTCAGTCACGTCACGTCCAATTACTACTAATTCTCTCATTCAAAGCCCTTGAATCTCGGTGTGGAGCGAATCTCAAGATCCACATGTCCTCGATACAAGAGACATCAATGCAGAGCAAACACGCACCTCATCTTCAATGTCTTTGATCTTCTGCGTAATGGTCCCCATGGCTGCCGGTCAACGGTCAACGACGGTTAACAACGGTTAACAGCGGTCAACGACGGTTGACGACACCCAACGACGGCCAAAGACGGTTACCCTTTTCTTCCTAATCAACGACGTCCCTATCCAGCAATATCTAAGTTTCTGCGTTTGAGAGAGACGAGTAGCCGAATCTAAATATTTGCTAGTCGAATCGTTCGGCAGGCAGACCGTTACGTCACACAGATGCTCGCTTTGCTGCACGGCAACTTCTGAGGCAAACCACAACGAGAAGATGTAACGCCGTTGCAACTACTGGCACTTCCGGCTAACCGCAACCAGAAACTTAATCCGCACGCCAGTAACCGCACCGCCACAAACGTCGATCCGCGATCGTTTTCAACTGGCAAGTGGCTATTGAGTAATTATTCCAGGTCAGAGACACTGGAACTTTCAGCGCTGATCGCACGTGTAATCTGCAGCACAGAAAGCTAGTTGCCGGGGGTGCGAGTCCCTCCGAGAACAGAAGCGGAGCTCCTACGAGACCAAGGCGCGGAAGTGAGCTAGAGGCGAGCTGGAAGCAAGCTCTACGAAAGGAAGGACACACACACAGAATCTGACACGACAATATTTAGAGAAGCTGGAAACTGAAGGCCAAAACCCTTATCTCCAGCTTTGGCTAGTGTGAAGGGGGGGACAAGGCGGGACAAGCTCGAGGGCAAGAGGGGATTTGGAATTCGCTACATATGCGCTTTAGAGAAATGCTTTTCGTTTTCGAAGATTCGAGAAACGTGTCGATGGTACGTCGATTTTCACGTATACACTGGTAAAAAATAGAGAGCTGAAAGCATGTCTAGGGCTAAAGATAACACATGTATGCACTCAACTATGCAGCATTTCGGCGATTGCACATTACGTAAATGGCTGTAAGAACTTGGAAACGATATAAACCGTTAATCTCCAAACCTCTTACAAATTAATAATGAAACCGCACATGGCAGAGCAACACATGTGGCTTTGCTCACACGATAGTGACAAAATCATAAATATTGAAATATTGTGAAGTTCTCTCCGTACCAGCTAAAATACCGTCACACCCATGTTCTACTAAACAGCGTCCACATTTCAGGCTGAAACCACTGAGAGGGAAACTGGAAGAACGGGTTTGTGAAGTCTGGGGAAGGCAGGGCAGGGAGAGGGAAAGACAAGTGCGGGATTGAGCACATAAGGTCATGAACGTGGGAGCATGCATTATTTTTGTTGCACCCATGCATGCCTGTGTTTTGGCATGCTTGTTTCTACAGGAGTTTAGTGTGGTGCTTATGTATAGAATAGGTGTGTATGTGTGCAAGTGTGCGCCTACAACTGTGTGCATGTGACAGTATGTGTCGGCGAAAAAAAAGGCAGCCAGGTGAAGAGAAACACTTCAAAAAAAAAAACCTAAACCCTAAGGGACTTCCCCCAAATAACGCAACCACCTACCTTGGGAGCTGCTGCGTCCTATCTCATTCTGCCACGTGGCAGGAACAGGCAGCCTATCGTCCCTGTAGCTTTCCACCCACTCCTCCACCGGTACTCTCCTCTCGGCCACCTCCATCAGCACAGCCAGGCACGCGTTCACCTGTGATGGGGAGGAGGGGGGAGAACGAGAGAATGAATGTAGTGAAAAAAAATTGTCCACCCACTCCTCCACTGGTACTCTCCTCTCAGCCACCTCCATCAGCACAGCCAGACACGCATTCACCTGTGATGGTGGGGAGGGGCAAGGAAAGGAGTTGCAACGAGGGAAGATGGCCTGTAATTCCTGTGGGGTTCCACGGTCCACCCACTCCTCCACCGTTACCCTCCTCTCTGCCACCTCCACCAGCACAGCCAAACATGCAATCACCTGTGGCGGGAGGGGAGGGGAGAGAGTCAACTCTTGTCGGCCCATCACTCTCCAACACCTATCAAGACATCTCAATCGCCCTTTCGCTCACCTCATGTGCTCTCTCCCGCAGCACCATGTGCGCTCCCATGAGAGGCAAGAAGCGCGCCACCCTTCCTAGACTCCTAGCGACCCTCTCGCCCAATGAAATGTGAGCAATGACGTCATCCCTGAAGATTGTGGGGGCAAAGGGGAGGGGTGTGAGGGATGACGAGAGGGGAGGGTAGAGGGGGTGGGTGGGAGGCACGTGTGACCACATATAAACCATGTGTAACCCCGTGGGAGGAGAAAGGTAAGAGGGAAGAGAGGATAGGAGAGAAGGGGAGAGGAAGTACCTGCCATGGATGACGGCGGATAAAGGGACCAGAGGAGAGGGAGAACCCTCACTTGTGGGGATGTGCGCACTGCAGATCTCATCCACATCGTGTGGTGTGACGGAGTGTGTTTAAGCACAGGGGAAGGTAAGATGGAAGAGAGGGAAGACGGGAAGTACCTGCCATGGCTGACGGCTGTGAGACGTCTCAAAACCTGCCATGGCTGACGGCTGTGAGACGTCTCAAAACCTGCCATGGCTGACGGCTGTGAGACGTCTCAAAACCTGCCATGGATGACGGCTGTGAGACGTCTCAAAACCTGCCATGGATGACGGCTGTGGGGATGTGCGCTCTGCAGATCTCATCCACATCGTGTGGTGTGAGAGAGTGCGGTTAGGGAGACGGTGAGGAGAAGGAAGTGGGAAGAGGGGGATCAGCTGATGAAGGGGCCAGAGGAGAGGGAGAACCCTCACCTGCCATGAATGACGGCAATGGGGATGTGCGCACTGCAGATCTCATCCACATCGTGGTGAGTGGGGAGTGTGTTTAAGGAGCAAGGAAGAGAGGGAACCGGGAAAACGAAGAAAAGGGTAGCGAGAAAGCACCTGCCATGAATTACGGCAGTGGGGACGTGACGTGAGCGCTGCAGATCTCATCCACATCATGGCGAGTGGGGAGTGTGTTTAGGGAGCAGAGGAGACAGGTACAAGGGAAGTGGAAAGAGAAGGAAAGCAAGACGGAAGGGAGGGTAGGAGGGAGGAGCGGGAAGTACCTGTCATGGATAACAGAGGTGGGGATGTGCGCGCTGCAGATCTCATCCACATCATGTGGAGTGAGGGTGCATTCAAGGAGATGAGGAGAAAATGAAGAGGGAAGAGAAGGAAGAGGGGAGAGAGGGAAGCGAGGGAGTAACTGCCATGAATGACGGCGGTGGGGATGTGCGCGCTGCAGATCTCATCCACATCATGTGGTGTGAGAGAGTGCGGTTACGGAGGCGGTGAGGAGAAGGAAGGGGTAAGAGGGGGGACCAGAGGAGAGGGAGAACCCTCACCTCCCATGAATGACGGCGGTGGGGATGTGAGCGCTGCAGATCTCATCCACATCGTGTGGTGTGAGGGAGTGCGTCCAGCATGCGTTGAGGTGCCCGTTCGCACCATGAGGTGTCTGCATGGCGGACGGTGCTGACAGCTCGCGCACATACTCCTGAGGAAGATGGGGAGATAAAGGGCGTGTATGAGGGATGGAGTGCGTTAAGCAGGTGAGGGAGTGGTTCCAGCACCCATTCAGATGCCCATTCACCTGGTGGGGTGTCTGCATGGCGGATGGTGCTGACAGCTCGCGCACATACTCCTGAGGAAGATGGGGAGATAAAGGGCGTGTATGAGGGATGGAGTGCGTTAAGCAGGTGAGGGAGTGGTTCCAGCACCCATTCAGATGCCCATTCACCTGGTGGGGTGTCTGCATGGCGGATGGAACTGGAAAGGGCAGGGATACTTACACGCATCTGCTAGACTTAGCTTGTTCATGCCATAATCAGTACAGCCAGCGCAGCTACACTGTATGCATGCCATACCATATGTATGCCATAGCCATGCCAATACACTTCAAGCTACCTCACAAGCACACGCTAGACCTCACAAACAAGTACACGTCACTGCTAAAATACAAGCACACACTACAGGACACCCATACCATGGGTTGTCACAGAGAAAAGCTTTGTCACAGAGAAAAGCTTTGTCACAGAGAAAAGCTTTGTCACAGAGAAAAGCTTTGTCACAGAAACATGCAATGAACGCCACAGAGCCATACCTCTTTTGGTATGGCTAAAAAAATTACAAGCACACACACTAGAGCCCATACCATGTGTAGAGCTTCTCTTCGCGACATGCCACTGCCTGCCTCCGTTTCCTCCATGTATTCCTGGCAGGGCAGAAGAGAAAAGGTGGGAGGCAAGTAGAGAACAAGGGAGAGAAGGCGGCATTTGAGCGACTTTTTAGTCGCATAAATTCTGTTTCTGTCACAAGCCACTGCTTGCCTCCGTTTCCTCCATGTATTCCTGGCAGGCAAGTAGACGGGAAGAGCCGGGGAGAAGGAAGAGAACAAGGGAGAAAAACAGGCGATGCTTGAGGCAATGCCTGAGGTGATGTATGAGGCGCCTACATAAATCCACTTCGTCACAAGCCACTGCTTGCCTGAGTTTCCTCCATGTACTCCTGGCAAGCAAGCAGAGGGGAAAAGGCAGGAGGCAAGCAGAGAACGAAGGAGAGAAGGCGATGTTTGAGGCAATGTCCTATATGAATCCTCTCCGTGACATGCCACTGCTTGCCTGCGTTTCCTCCATGTACGCCTGGCAAGCAAGCAGAAGGGAAGAGCCGTGGAGAACACGAGAAAAAAAGGCAATGCTTTGAGGCGCCTACATAAACCCACTTCATGACAAGCCAACGCCATCCACTTAGGCTCTCCGTTCAAAGGCCCAGATGTTTGGTGGTGGTGGGTCGCATGATGCAATGCAACCCACTTGAGACAGGCAATTCAAAGTCAATTCCCCTGGGACAAGTGCGCGTCCAGGTCCACTTGAGCCCTGAGCTCCGGGGCACAGGGGTTTGGTTTGATTGAGGCGTCTAAATCGAATTGTGAGACATCAAAAAAATTCACAGTCCCCTGGGCCCTGCGAGAAGTGCATGTCGAGGTCCACCTGAGCCCTCAGCTCCAAGGCACAGGGGTTAGGTTGGTAGGCTTCTGTGTCGGCTAGTTTTGAGACGTCTCAAAACCAGGTCCACCTGAGCCCTCAGCTCCAAGGCACAGGGGTTAGGTTGGTAGGCTTCTGTGTCGGCTAGTTTTGAGACGTCTCAAAACCAGGTCCACCTGAGCCCTCAGCTCCAAGGCACAGGGGTTAGGTTGGTAGGCTTCTGTGTCGGCTAGTTTTGAGACGTCTCAAAACCAGGTCCACCTGAGCCCTCAGCTCCAAGGCACAGGGGTTAGGTTGGTAGGCTTCTGTGTCGGCTAGTTTTGAGACGTCTCAAAACCAGGTCCACCTGAGCCCTCAGCTCCAAGGCACAGGGGTTAGGTTGGTAGGCTTCTGTGTCGGCTCAAAGTCACCTCACCTGCGAGAAGTGCCTGTCCAGATCCACCTGAGCCCAGGTCCACTTGAGATCTCAGATTCACAAGTGGTGAGTTTGCACCTGCTGCATGTGCATGCGTGCGTCCACTCAAAGTCACCTCACCTGAGATCCCAAGTGGACCTGGGCTCAGGTGGACCTGACCACAGCCCGATCTACCTGAGCTCCAGTGCACATGGGTTCGGTTGGTTGGCTTCTGTGTCGGCTCAAAGTCACCTCACCTGGACCTTTTGAGAAATTTCAAATGTCACCTCACCTGCGAGAAGTGCATGTCCAGGTCCATTTGAGCCCGCAGCTCCAAGGCACCTGGGCTCCTGGGTTCGGTTGCACGCTAACCACATCGACTCTCAAAGCTACTACCTCACCTGCGAGAAGTGCATGTCCAGGTCCATTTGAGCGCGCAGCTCCGGGGTATGGATCAGGTGCATCGACACCTCACCTCACCTCACCTCACCTCACCTCACCTAACCTCACCTCACCTCACCTCACCTCACCTCACCTCACCTCACCTCACCTCACCTCACCTCACCTGCGAGAAGTGCGTATCCAGGTCCACCTGAGCCCTCAGCTCCGGGGTTCGAGCATTCAACAGACGGTAGACAATGGAGAAGACACGCGAGTCCAGCTGGGGAGGTGGCGGGGAGGAAGGAAGGGGGGTTGGGAGGAAGGGAATGGCAGACATACATATCGGGAGACGAGGCGCCTCAAATATGTAGAAAGAACAGTGTTTGGACACTCATCATTCGATCAACACCGGGGAAGACACGCGATTCCAGCCGGGGTGATGTTGGGTGTGTGTGGGCGGAAGGGGGGGGGGGGAGGGGTTGGGACGGGGGGAGGGAAGGGGAGGTATGACATGCAGTGCAGAAGGTGAGGCCTACACAGGGGAGGAGAAAGTCGAAGCCACCCCCCCCCCTCCATTGACACTGATGAGTGCAAAGAAGATGATTAGATGCGATGCTGCTGCTGCCAGGTGTGTTTTGATGAGTATTTTTCTTGAATCACACCAAGGGGGGGTTAATGAGCCTCACACAAGGGTGGAGTGGTGAGGGGTGGTGAGGTGAGGAGTGGTGAGGAGGAGTGGTGAGGAGGAGTGGTGAGGAGTAGTGAGGAGCCTTACGCGGGGGAGAAGGTCGAAGCCCCCCCCGCTAACGCTGATGAGAGCAAGGGAGATGATTCTGTGTGATGCTGCTGCTGCCACCTTGCATGCTATCATGCCGCCTGGAGTGTCGGGAGGATGGTGGGGAGGGAAGAGGGAAAGAGGGAGGGAGGGAGGGAGGTAAGGAAGAGAAACCAAAGGGGAGTGCATGCAAGGAAGTAGATCACTCAGTGTAATTCTGATTAGTGCAAGGGAGATGAAACTGCCACATGGAGATGAAACCGACACAGGGAGATGAAACCGGCCGAACCATGGAGATCACCAGCTCATGGCAATGGGACTGACCAATTGACATGAAACCAGCCTATGGAGATTAAACTGGAGCACGGAAATGAAACGGACACAGGGAGATGAAACGGGCACATGGACACGTAACTGATTCATGGAGATGAAACCGAACCAGGGAGATGAAACTGACCCATGGAATGGCCAACCAAGTGGAACCTGGTCCAGCCGAGATGATCCGCCAGGAACAGTGCATCTGCTGCCATCACCTCCGTACTGGCAGGGGGGTAAGGGGGGGTGGAAGGGGGTAATGGAGGGGTCGGAGGGGGTAGTGCATACATACAAACATCATGCATGATCCGCCGGGAACAGTGCATCTGCTGCCATCACCTCCGTGCAGGTTGTGGGGTAAAAGGGGAGTTGGGGGGGGGGGGGGGGGGGGGGAGGGGCACATTATACATACGCATGCATCTGCTGCCATCCCTCCGTGCTGTGCAAAATGGAACGGGGGGGAAGTAGGGGAAACAACTGTGTAAAACAAACATATACAGTTTTCTTGAACTCCAGTTTGTAAGAGCGCGCTGCGCACGCATGTACTTGTTATTGAAGAAGTGTTTTGAGACATCTCAAAATACTCGTCGCTGCTGCAGAGTGGAACAGAGAGCAGACCAGAGCACTCACGTGTAGTGTACTGGGTGGGGAGTTGACTTTTGAGTCGACTGAAAAGTGAACTCCAGTCTGTAAGAGCGCACGCGTGTGTTAGAATATATGTGTACTCGCTGCTGCAGAGTGGAACAGAGAGCAGAGCACTCACGTGTACTGGGTGGGGTCTGAGTGGCACGAGCTGTGCCCCACTCCCCGGTTGCCAAACACACACGCCTCACCTCACCTCACCTCCCCGTAGCACAGCAAACGAGCAGCTACTGAGTGTTACTCACGTGCACTGGGTGGGGTCTGAGGGGCACGAGCTGTGCCCCACTCCCCGGTTGCCAAACACACACGCCTCACCTCCCCTCACCTCCCCGTAGCACAGCAAACGAGCAGCTACTGAGTGTTACTCACGTGTACTGGGTGGGGTCTGAGGGGCACAAGCTGTGCCCCACTCCCCGATTGCCAAAGATGCACACCTCAATCCCACTCCTCCTGCCGCCCCTTTGTGTCTCTTCCAGTGAGCGCACGACTAGCACAGCACAGAGAGCACTCACGTGTACTGGGTGGGATCGGTGGGGCATGAGCTGTGTCCCACTCCCCGGTTGTCAGACACACACACCACCTCCCTCCCTCCCTCCCTCCCTCCCTCCCTCCCTCCCTCCCTCCCTCCCTCCCTCCCTCCCTCCTTCCCTCCCTCCCTCCGAGGGAGCACTCACGTGTACAGAGAGCAATCACATCACAGCACAGAGGGCACTCACGTGTACTGGCTGGGGTCGGTGGGGCACGAGCTGTGCCCCACACGAGCCAGACTCTCTAAACGAGCAGCTACTAAGTGTTACCCACGTGTACTGGGTGGGGTCTGAGGGGCACGAGCTGTGCCCCACTCCCCGGTTGTCAAAGATGCACACTTCAATCCCACTCCTCTCTCCTTCCGAGGGAGCACTCACGTGTACAAAGAGCAATCACAGCACAGAGAGCACTTACGTGTATTCGCTGGGATCTGAGGGGCACGAGCTGTGCCCCACTCCCCGGTTGTCAAAGATGCACACTTCAATCCCACTCCTCCTGCCGCCCCTTTGTGTCTCTTCCAGTGAGCGCACGACTAGCACAGCACAGAGAGCACTCACGTGTACTCAGTGGGTTCGGAGGGGCACGAGCTGTGCCCCACTCCCCGATTGTCAAAGATGCACACCTCAATCCCACTCCTCCTGCCGCCCCCCCTCCCCCCCTCTCTCTTCTCCTCCGCCCCCCTCGCCTCCTCTCCCCTCTCCACCTCTTCTCTCTCCTCCCTTCCTTGCCGTCCCCTCAACTTTTTTTCTCCCTCACACCCATCGCCCACTCCTCTCTCGACTCCTTCCCCTTCCACCCGTCCCCCTCCCTTCCCATCCCTGCTCCCATTACAACAACACTCCCCATTACCAAACTCCTCGTCACCTCTCTCCTTCTCCTCATCATTCCCCTCCTCTCCCTTCTCCCCTTTCTCTTCCGCGCCCTCCTGCCGCCTCCCACCCTTGGGAGTACCCGTTCCCTCCCCAGTATCCCTTCTTTCGAGTCCACTCGACTCAAAAATAGACTCCTTGTGCTGCCCCCCACCGTTGGGAACACCTGTGCCCGCCAGAGCATTCACCTGGTACCGCCACGCAGCATGGCCAGAGGCGAGGCCTGAGTGGGAGGGATAGAGGGAGGGAAAACGGGAGAGGGAAGGGGAAAGCGACAGATCTAGTTGATTGTAGACACCTCCACTCCCCGTTGGGAACACCTGTGCCCCGCCAGAGCATTCACCTGGTAACGCCACGCAGCATGGCCAGAGGCGAGGCCTGAGTGGGAGGGACAGGGGGGAGAGGGAAAGGAGAAGCGACAGATCATGCTGATATAGACACCTTCCGCTGCTGGTGGGATTATCCGTGCCCGTCAGCCAGGCCAGTATACACCTCCTCCCTTCCTCCCACCATTGGGAACATCCGTGCCCACCAGAGCCTTAACCTGGAATCGCCACGCAGCGTGCCCAGAGGCGAGACCTGGGAGAGAGGGAAAAAGGGAGAGGGAAAGGAGAAGCGACAGATCGCGTTGATACCATCATATTGACAGTAGAAACCTTCCCCTGCTGGTGGGAACACCCGCACCAGCCAGAGCCTTCACCTGGAATCGCCAAGCAGTGTGCCCAGAGGCGAGGCCTGGGAGTTGGGTAAACAAGGGAGAGGGAAAGGAGAAGCGACAGACAGAGCAGGTTGATACTATCAAGTTGATCGTAGACGCCCCAAAAGTACACGCACAGAAGATACAGGTAACAGAAGTGACAGAACAGAACATCATAACTATATAGAGCCCCCTCTTCTCCGACTGTTACGTTGGGGATGCCTGTCCGTGTGAGAGCCTTCACCTGGAGCCGGCAAGCTGCATGGACGGGAAAAGATATCATAAGTACTGAAATACAAACACCTATTATCATAAGCAGTTGAATGCAGGCACCCATTATCATTTGCAGTTTGATACACGCACCAATATTCACAAGCACTTCTAAACACGCACCCATTATCACAAGCACTTCTGAACACGCATCCATTATCACAAGCACTTCTAAACACGCACCCATTAAAATAAGCACTTTGATACACACACCCAGAATCATACGCACTTCGATACACGCACCCATTATCACAAGCACTTCGACACACGCACCCATTATCACAAGCACTTCGATACACGCACCCATTATCATAAGCACTTTCGTGTCTCCATGGCCGTACGTCTCGTAGAAAAGTCTCACTTTCTCGCCAGCCCCGTCATCCCCGCCGCCATTTCCGCCGCTCTCTGTGGCGCCTGATCCGCCGTTTTCCGCGGAGCTTTGGTCATTGCTGTGGTGGTGGTGGTCAGGAACTACGCAGTACGGCATGTCGCCACGTGGCCCTGAATGCCGTGATAAGCCGCTCTACTTATCAGTGAGATGCAGTGTCGGAAATCCCAAGGTAGGGGAATGTCGGGAAGGTGTGCTTGTCTTCCCGCTTGGCTTGTCACTTGGCCTCAGTCACTTGGCCTCAGTGAAATGCAGTATCGGAAATCCCAAGGTTGGGAAGATGCCGGATTGACCTTTCGCTTGGCCTCTCAGTGAAATGCGGTGTCGCAAATCCCACGGCAGGGAAACGTCCAGTTAACGTCGCGCTTGGCTTGTCAGTAAAATGCGGTATCGGGAGTCCCAAGGTAGAGACGTGAGTGGCCAAGTCAATTCTCGGGCTAGCCGGAAGTACAGAAGATGTCTTTGGGACGTCTCTAGAGTAAATGTCGCTCCGATAGTAAATGTCGGCGACGAACCTAACCGCCCACGAAACGGATAGTGCCGGTGATGCTGCCCTTCAGTCCCGACTCCCGAAATGCATCATCTGTCTGTCTGTGGTAGCCATGTTTGGAGAGTACACGCTTTTAGTTCGTGTCTGTCTGTGCGAAACAGTGCTTCTTGTTTGTGTCAGGCAGAGGCAGGGGGACTTCTAGAATTTACTCGTTATAGACGAACCCGGACTGTTTGTGAGTCGGTTGTAACAAGGAAGCTAAGACGTTTAGTATTCATTTTCAAATATCATATATGTCATACTGATTACCGTATTCCCCCGGATAAAAGACCCTAGGGGCTGTTATTGATTTCACAAAAAAAGGGGGGGGGGTGGGGGGGGGGGGGGGGGGGGGGGGGGTCTTATTATAGAGTAAAAAACCGATAAGACTCGGGTCTTATTATAAGTGCTATGTTTTTTTAAATATAATGAAATGCAAGGGTGTTGCAATGAAGATTTGAGTTTTCTAAACGAGGAAACACCCCGCGAATGTCTTGAGCCGAGAAACCGGGCACAATCCATGAAGCATCTGAATGCTTCATGCTCATTGGTGTTGGGTTGAGAAAAGCCCTTAGGATCTTTCAAGGCTAAGATCATTGTTGAAGTAGAGATGTTATAATTGCGGAAGCATTAATATAAGGATTACTTGAACCACCTTGTACTGGTGTGTGAGAACAAGATAAGTTAATTAATAGCAGGGAAATACAAGGCTTTTATATGATTACAAAGGAATATGAAAGGTTCTACTTTTAACTGTTTTGCTGTTGCGGTTCGATACAGTGCCGACTCGGGTAACTGCTCAGTAACGAGTCAGTTATGTGTCCTTGCTGTCACACTATACTTTTCGTCAAGTCAAAGGTCAGCGACCTTTGACCTTCACGTAACCTCCAGCGGTTGCTTTGATTGACTCGTGTGTTTCTTCGCTGTAGTCTGCTCCGTTTCGTGTCGGTACTTCGATACTTCAGAGGCGCTTAAATTACTTGTTTCCTGTTAGAATAGTAGCTTGAACTTAGGAACCATAGCTTGGGTTCTAGGTGCTAGCATGAGTGTCGAGGGAGTTTTGGGTGAGGAAAGTCGAGAAGGAGAATGAAATGGTTTCACTATAGAAAGTTGGGATACAAATAGCAAACCCTAAATTGGGTTGTACTCACTACAGAGTACCCCACTGCAGGCTAGACAGCAAATACATTCTGACATTTCCAACACTCCCCTTCGCTTCTGGAGTATCGCTGCTGATGACGTGTCCTTGTCCAGTCAGCAGCATGCAGTACTCGAACTTCTGTTTTCCGAGTTTCTTGGTCAGGTAATCAGCTGCCATCTCAGATGTGGGACAGTAGGATAGCTCGAGTCTTCCCTTCTCGATTTTGTCTTTTACGAAGAAGTACCGAAGGGCGATCTGCTTCGTTCGATTCGCAAACCCGTTTTTTTTTCTATGCGAATGGCCGATTGGTTGTCGCAGAAGAGAGCGAAGCTGGGTAACTGGGCCAATTTTGCTTCCTCCAGTAATTCGCGAAGATATAGCCCTTCCCTGGTGGCTGAGCAGAGTGCGATATATTCTGCTTCTGCTGAGGGGAGAGCGATTAGCTCTTGCTTGTTCGACTGCCATGAGATAGGCCCGATAGGTTCGAGTATGTAGACGTAGCCTGTTCGAGATCGTCTGTTGTCAGAGTCTCCAGCGTGATCTGCATCGACGTAACCGATTAGCTTAGGTATCGTAGTTCCGGTCTTGTGGTAGGTTAGTCCGATCGTCGGAGTGCTGACGAGGTAGTGAAGTGCTTGGTCGAGTTCGAGCATGTGCTCTGCTTCAGGCTTCTTGAGGCAGGTAGCGAGTTGGCTAGCTGAGTAGGATGGATCCGGTCGGCAGGTGACGGTTGCGAAGAGTAGGCAGCCTAACTTCCGTTGGTAGTCGCGGATGCCGGCAGGTTTGAGTAGAGCGGAGGCTTTTCGATTTTCGTCGGTGTAGCGGTATGGCGTGTGTGAAGAATTAAACAGGAATGATTGAACTAGAAATGAGGTGGGTACAAATAGAGAACACAAAAGTGTTGTACCCTCTAGGAACTACCCCACTACAGCCTATATAGGCTAAAGCATATACATTTGACACACCCCCATAGGCAAAGTGGGGGAGAACTAGGGGTCACAAGACCAGTCAAGCAAAGCAAAGCAAAGCAAGCTCAGGGTGGATCACAACGTCACCACACAGTCTGAGCACCGGTTCAAAGGCCACAAGGCCAGTTCACATGCAAGTTCATATATAAAGGTAAACAAGCAAGTGCAGGTATATATAGATCACAGTACAAGGAAAGTCAAGAGGTAAGCAAGTGAGGCCAAGTAGGCACAAGACCTAGCATAGTACAGAAGCGCTGATGATCACAAGGCTGAAGTGCCTTGGTAAAGATATCAGCAGTGTTGGCCTGAGAGGCCACGTAAGCAAGGCGCAGCTGACCACGCTGCTGCAGCTCACGAGCAAGGAAGTAGCGAAGAGCAATGTGCTTCGTTCTGTGCTCCAGTCTGTGCTCCCGACACAAGGCCAGCATAGCCTTGTTGTCTACGTACAGAACTGGAGGAGAACGAGGCGGCTCTCCCAGGTCAGTCAGCAGGTAGGTGAGCCAGCGTAACTCCTGTGCAGCCATGACCCCTGCGTAGATCTCAGCCTCACAGCTGGAGCTGAGAACAGAAGACGAGCGAGTAGACCGCCACGAAACAGAGCCGGAACCAAGGCTGAAGGTGTAACCATGTGACGACCGCTGAGTAGCCAGGTCGTCAACCCAGACGCGTCTGCGTGACCAGTGAGGACCACTGGACTCCGCCCTCCAAGCACTAGCCCCAAGCCCGAAGTACTGCACAAGTAGCGCAACACCCTCTTCGCTGCAGCCATGTGCTCTGGTCGGTGTCTCCCAGGAGCAACATAGCGTGCCAAGATGCTCAGAGGGTATGCTAGGTCAGGTCGAGTGCAGGTCATCAGGTACATGAGGCAGCCAACAAGCTCTGGGTGCGGGCCACTCGGCTCTACGGACTCATCCGAAGGCAGAGCTGAGTGCGAGTGGCGAGTAGACAGAGGAGTGGCCTGAGGCGAGGAGTACGTGAAGTCGAAGCGCTGAAGGACCTGCTGCACCATGTGAGATTGAGTCAGAGTAATGGTGCGCCGTGCTCTGTCCCGGGTGATCTGCAAGCCAAGATAGCTGCGCAGTTCACCCAGCTCTGTGCACGTGTGTCTCTTCTGCAGCTCGGACTTCACGTGGGCGAGTCCAGCTGTGTCAGCTATAGCAAACACCAAGTCGTCGACGTACACGAGGATGTAGAACGGCGGCAGCAAAGTGTCGGTGCGAAGAAACAGCGACGGGTCAGCAGTGGAAGGAGCAAACCCAAGAGCCGCAAGCGTAGTCCTCAGTGTGTCGTGCCACTCACGTGGCGCCTGGCGGAGACCATAGACTGGCCGCCGGAGGCTCCACTGGGTACCAGGAGGAAACGACACAGTGAAGCCAGGTGGGCGGCACAGCCAGATCTCCTCGTGCAGACTGCCCTGTAGGAAAGCAGTGCTGAAGTCAAGGGAGTGAAGCTCGTAGTCACGCTGAGCAGCAACGTGCAGCAGAACCCGAAGAGTGGTCATCTTCGGGGTCGGGGAGAAGGTCTGAAAGTAGTCAACTCCCTGCCGCTGACTGAAGCCTCGAGCCACGTAACGCGCCTTGAAGACAAGCGGAGAACCCGGCGGCCGCTTCACCCTGAAAATCCACATGCCACTGACGATGTTCGCCCCAGGTGGGGGAACCTCGTCGACGTAGGTGCCTGTGGACTTCCAGGAAGCCATCTCTGCGTCCATGGCTGCCTGCCACTGAGAGGAGTAAGGACCCTCTATCGCCTCTGCGTAAGAGCGCGGGGTCGGGATGTCTGGTGCATCCGGGTCTCCCTCAGGGGCAAGCAGCGTGGACACGAGATGAGGTAAAGCAGCAGCAAAACACTGGAACTCCTCCTGTCGGTCCTCAAGGACGTCCGTGCTAAGAGCACACTCACCCCCGACGGACGGAGGACAGACAGACGCAGACGCAGACTTAGCAACAAGACTAGCGGCGTAGTCTAGACGACAGTGAGCAGCGAAGTCGACAAGCTCGGTAACTAAGGCAGACGCAGCAGTGGACTCAAAGGAAGGGTCAGTGACAACAGTGGCTAGGAAACGTGTGACAGTAGGACTGGCAGCACGAAGGGAGTCAGACGCCGGGTCAGCAAGAGCAGGAAGAGAGGACTCTGGAGGAGACGGCAAAGGGATACGCTCTGGCGCAGTGGAAGGACGCAGTGCCATCTGATGCGTGCCCGGGACTGCAGGAGGACGCGGACGTGGAACACGACGACTAGTGCGAGCAGTGCGAACAGGCGACGCAGGACGCGACTCAGGCTCACGACGCTCAGCAAGACCTCCAGTAGGACCAGCGTAGGGAGAAGGAGTAGGCAGAGGGGAGACTAGCTGTAACTGTGACTCGGACTGGACAGGCGGAGGACACTCTAAGGAAGGAGCAGGACTAGGAGAAGGCGGAAGACCAAGAACCTGCTCAAGGAGCGGAACGAAGTACGGCCG